ATAATGGAGAGAGGGAATAACATTTAATAACGGAGAGAAAGGGAATAACATTTCATAACAGATAGAGGGAATAGCACTTCATAATGGAGAGAGGGAATAACATTTCATAACAAAGAGAGAGAATAACACTTCATAACGGAGAGAGATAATAACACTTCAAAACGGAGAGAGAGAATAACACTTCATAACGTAGAGAGAGAATAACACTTCATAACGGAGAGAGGGAATAACACTTCATAATGGAGAGAGAGAATAACACTTCATAACGGAGAGAGAGAGAGAAAACACTTCATAACGGAGAGAGAGAAAACACTTCATAACGGAGAGAGAGGGAATAATACTTCATAATGGAGAGAAAGAATAACACTTCATATCAGAGAGAGAGAATAACACTTCATAATGGAGAGAGGGAATAACACTTCATAATGGAGAGAGAGAATAACACTTCATAACGGAGAGAGAGAGAGAAAACACTTCATAACGGAGAGAGAGAATAACAATTCATAACGGAGAGAGAGGGAATAACACTTCATAATGGAGAGAGAGAATAACACTTCATAACAGAGAGAGGGAATAACACTTCATAACGGAGAGAGAGAATAACATTTCATAATGGAGAGAGAGAATAACACTTCATAACGGAGAGAGGGATTAAGACTTCATAATGGAGAGAGGGAATAACACTTCATAACGGAGAGAGGGAATAACACTTCATAACAGAGAGAGGGAATAACACTTCATAACGGAGAGAGGGATTAACACTTCATAATGGAGAGAGGGAATAACACTTCATAACGGAGAGAGATAATAACAGTTCATAACGGAGAGAGAGGGAATAATATTTCATAACGGAGAGAGAGAATAACACTTCATAACGGAGAGAGAGAATAACACTTCATAACGGAGAGAGAGAATACCATTTCATAACAGAGAGAGAATAACACTTCATAACGGAGAGAGAGAATAACACTTCATAACGGAGAGAGAGAATAACACTTCATAACGGAGAGAGAGAATAACACTTCATAACGGAGAGAGAGAATACCATTTCATAACAGAGAGAGAATAACATTTCATAATGGAGAGAGAGAATAACACTTCATAATGGAGAGAGGGAATAACACTTCATAACGGAGAGAGATAATAACACTTCAAAACGGAGAGAGAGAATAACACTTCATAAGCCCCATATAATACCCACCACTGTGACCTGTACGCTCTTGTTGGCTGGTCCTCACTACATATTCGTCGCCAAACCCACTGGCTCCAGGCCATCTATAAATCACTGCTAGGCAAATCCCCGCCTTATCTTAGCTCATTGGTCACCATAGCAACACCCACCCGTAGTTTGCGCTCCAGCGGGTATATCTCACTGGTCATCCCCAAAGCCAACACCTCCTTTGGCCGCAATTCCTTCCAGTTCTCTGCTGCCAATGACTGGAACAACTTGCAAAAATCTCTGAAGCTGGAGACACTTATCTCCCTCACTAACTTTAAGCATCAGTTGTCAGAGCACCTTACCGATCACTGCACCTGTACACAGCCCATCTGAAATTAGCCCGCCCAACTACCTCATCCCTATATTGTTATTTATTTTGCTCATTTGTACCCCAGTATCTCTATTTGCTCATCATCTCTTGCACATCATTCCAGTGTTAATACTAAATTGTAATTATTTTGCACTATAGCCTATTTTATTGCCTTACCTCCATAACTTGCTAAATTTGCACACTGTATATTAATTGTATTTCTGTTGTATTTTTGACTTTGTTTTGTTTTACCCCATATGTAACTCTGTGTTGTTGTTTTTATCGCACTGCTTTGCTTTATCTTGGCCAGGTCGCAGTTGTAAATGAGAACTTGTTCTCAACTGGTTTACCTGGTTAAATAAAGGTGAAATAAATAAATTAAAAAATTTAAAAAAACGTAGAGAAAGAATAACACTTCATAACGGAGAGAGGGAATAACACTTCATAATGGAGAGAGAGGGAATAACACTTCATAACGAAGAGAGAGAATAACACTTCATATCAGAGAGAGAGAATAACACTTCATAACGGAGAGAGAGAATAACATTTCATAATGGAGAGAGAGAATAACACTTCATAACGGAGAGAGGGAATAACACTTCATAATGGAGAGAGGGAATAACACTTCATAACGGAGAGAGATAATAACACTTCAAAACGGAGAGAGAGAATAACACTTCATAACGTAGAGAGAGAATAACACTTCATAAAGGAGAGAGAGAATAACACTTCATAACGGAGAGAGAGAAAATAATACTTCATAATGGAGAGAGAGAAAAACACTTCATAACAGAGAGAGAGAATACCATTTCATAACGGAGAGAGAATAAAACTTCATAACGGAGAGAGAGAATAACACTTAATAACGGAGAGAGAATAACACTTCATAACAGAGAGAGAGGGAATAACATTTCATAACAGATAGACGGAATAACACTTCATACCGGAGAGAGAGAGAATAATATTTCACAACGGAGAGAGGGAATAACATTTCATAACAGATAGAGGGAATAACAATTCATAACGGAGAGAGAGAGAATAACACTTCATAACGGAGAGAGACAGAATAACACTTTATTACGGAGAGAGAGAATAACACTTCATTTCGGAGAGAGAGAATAACACATTTCATAATGGAGAGAGGGAATAACATTTCATAACGGAGAGAGAGAGAATAACACTTCATAACGGAGAAAGACAGAATAACACTTCATAACGGAGAGAGGGAATAACACTTCATAATGGAGAGAGAGGGAATAACATTTCATAACGGAGAGAGAAAATAACACTTCATAATGGAGAGAGGGAATAACACTTCATAACGGAGAGGGAGAGAATAACACTTCATAACGGAGAGAGAGAATAACACTTCATAACAGAGAGAGAGAATACCATATCATAACGGAGAGAGAGAATAACACTTCATAAAGGAGAGAGAGAATAAGACTTCATAACGGAGAGAGAGAATACCACTTCATAAAGGAGAGAGGGAATAACACTTATTAACGGAGAGAGAATAACACTTCATAATGGAGAGAGGGAATAACACTTCATAATGGAGAGAGAGGGAATAACATTTCATAACAAATAGAGGGAATAACACATCATAATGGAGAGAGGGAATATCATTTAATAACGGAGAGAAAGGGAATAAAATTTCATAACAGAGAGAGGGAATAGCACTTCATAATGGAGAAAGGGAATAACATTTCATAACAAAGAGAGAGAATAACACTTCATAACGGAGAGAGAGAATAACACTTCATAACGTAGAGAGAGAATAACACTTCATAACGGAGAGAGGGAATAACACTTCATAACGGAGAGAGAGAGAATAACACTTCATAACGGAGAGAGAGAATAACACTTCATAACGGAGAGAGAGAATAACACTTCATAACGGAGAGAGAGGGAATAACATTTCATAACAAATAGAGGGAATAACACTTCATAATGGAGAGAGGGAATAACATTTAATAACGGAGAGAAAGGGAATAACATTTCATAACAGATAGAGGGAATAACACTTCATAATGGAGAGAGGGAATAACATTTAATAACGGAGAGAAAGGGAATAACATTTCATAACAGATAGAGAGAATAACACTTCATAAAGGAGAGAGAGAATAAGACTTCATAACGGAGAGAGAGAATACCACTTCATAAATGAGAGAGGGAATAAAACGTATTAACGGAGAGAGAATAACACTTCATAATGGAGAGAGGGAATAACACTTCATAATGGAGAGAGAGGGAATAACATTTCATAACAAATAGAGGGAATAACACTTCATAATGGAGAGAGGGAATATCATTTAATAACGGAGAGAAAGGGAATAACATTTCATAACAGATAGAGGGAATAGCACTTCATAATGGAGAGAGGGAATAACATTTCATAACAAAGAGAGAGAATAACACTCATAACGGAGAGAGAGAATAACACTTCATAACGTAGAGAGAGAATAACACTTCATAACGGAGAGAGGGAATAACACTTCATAACGGAGAGACAGAGAATAACACTTCATAACGGAGAGAGAGAATAACACTTTATAACGGAGAGAGAGGGAATAACATTTCATAACAAATAGAGGGAATAACACTTCATAATGGAGAGAGGGAATAAACATTAATAACGGAGAGAAAGGGAATAACATTTCATAACAGATAGAGGGAATAACACTTCATAATGGAGAGAGGGAATAACATTTAATAACGGAGAGAAAGGGAATAACATTTCATAACAGATAGAGGGAATAGCACTTCATAATGGAGAGAGGGAATAACATTTCATAACAAAGAGAGAGAATAACACTTCATAACGGAGAGAGAGAATAACACTTCATAACGGAGAGAGGGAATAACACTTCATAACGGAGAGAGAGAGAATAACACTTCATAACGTAGAGAGAGAATAACACTTCATAACGGAGAGAGGGAATAACACTTCATAACGGAGAGAGAGAGAATAACACTTCATAACGGAGAGAGAGAATAACACTTCATAACGGAGAGAGAGGGAATAACATTTCATAATTTATAGAAGGAATAACACTTCATAACGGAGAGAGAGAATAACACTTCATAACGGATAGAGGGAATAACAGTTCATAACGGAGAGAGAGAGAATAAAACTTCATAATGGAGAGAGAGGGAATAACACTTCATAATGGAGAGAGAGAATAACACTTCATAACAGATAGATAGGGAAAAACACTTCATAACTGATAGAGGGAATAACAGTTAATAACGGAGAGAGAGAGAATAACGCTTCATAACAGAGAGAGAGAATAACACTTCATAACGGAGAGAGGGAATAACACTTCATATTGGAGAGAGGGAATAACACTTCATAACGGAGAGAGAGAATAACACTTCATAATGGAGAGAGGGAATAACACTTCATAACGGAGAGAGATGGAAAAAATACAGGATAAAAACAAAGGAGTAGCAAGACGGTTGTGGAGAATGACAGTTTGTTCCCCAGCTTGTTATTTTCATCCTTCACTACACCCAGCACACACCACACACACACACACACACACACACACACACACGACACAACACACACACACACACACACACACACATACACACACACACACACACACACTGCAGCACACCAAGGTAATCATAAAGTTGTGTGTGTATAACAGTGTCTGTTTAGAGACAGACAGTATCCCTCCCTGTCTTCACAGAGACAGCAGCACCACTCCCTAAAGCTATAGCACAATTTACAATATTACACTGTCCACTAGCAGTTGGTTTCATGCTTTTCTCATTTCCATGCTGCTTAGATCATTTCTCATTCTCTCACTACATTCAAATGAATGCCCTGTGAACAGCAGCTGCAGATGACCATAAATATTTCTAGACCAGTGATCATTGCAGCAGTGAGGACATGTCCCAATAATTCAGCTTTACACATCATCTGGATGGATGGATGGATGAATAAAAGGATGAATGGATGGATGGATGGATAACTAACCCTAACGCTAACCTCTAACCTCTTCTCTCTGCCTTTCCTTTTCTCAGAGGTCAAAGATCGCGGTATATGAGAAGATGTGGTCTTATATGAAGTCTGCTGAGCCTTCTGTCTTCGCTAAGACCACAGCGGAGGGCGTGGCTCGCGTCCGCAAGTCCAAAGGGAAGTACGCTTTCCTCCTGGAGTCCACCATGAATGAGTACACGGAACAACGCAAGCCCTGCGACACGATGAAGGTTGGAGGCAACCTGGACTCCAAGGGCTATGGCATCGCTACACCTAAAGGCTACAGCTAAGGTGGGTGGGAGTAGTTATAACGATGGTAGTCCCCAACTCAACACTTGTTGTTATTTGGTTATTCCCACCGACCCTGGTGGCCTTTTTTTTTATATGGATCACTTAGTAGTGTCTTAGGTCTGGTCTATTTCTGTTCCCCTTTCTTTCTTTCTTTTCTTTCTTTCTTTTTTCTTCTTTCTTTCTTCTCTTTCTTTCTTCTTTCTTCTTTCTTTTCTTTCTTTCTTATTTCTTCTTCTTTCTTTCTTTCTTTCTTCATTCTTTCGTTCTTTCTTTCGGCTGTCTGCTGTCTGTATGGCTGTTATGTCGTCTGTCTGTCTGTATGTCTCTCCTCTCTATCTCTCTCTCTCTCTATCTATCAGGAGGTTGAGGGTAGGGAGAGAGGGAGAGAGAGAGCGAGGAGGGGGGGTGGTGAGAAAGCATAGAGGATGCGACACGAGAGAGAGAAAGCAACGAGATGGAGGAGAGAGAAGCGAAGGAGTGGAGGGCGGAAGAGAGAGACACGATAGATAGAGAGAGAGAGAGGAGATCTCGAAGTTTTTGTGGTGAGTTATTGTGCCTACTGTTTAGCGCCATTGCTTCTGGTTGTTTTGCGGTCTTCTCATCTCTACAATCATCCATCTTGTCCGTTGTTCTTCACTCAGCTCCTCTCTTCACAGGGCCACCGATAGGTTGGTCATCTGTCCAACTAGTTTTGTTGTCTTTACCTGTCTCATTCCTTTCATTCTCAGATATAGAGTGTACTGTAGTACATCTGTTTTTGGAACAGGGCTGTGATGTGAATGAGTTACTAACGTTGATTGCCGTGGGGGGGGCGGTCAACGGGCATTGCCATGGAATCCAGGCCACCCAGGGGAATTTATAGACACACAGGAAACAGGACTTTGAAGGCGCCTGGCCCAGGGGGGAAAAAAAAAGCTATCTACATTATTTAATAACATCCCAAAATACAGATAAAATCAATCAAATCAAAATCAATCAAAACAAAAAAAATCACACAATCCAATGAATTGATGATTGCCCTGTGAAACATGATCAAATGTGTGTGTGTTGTGTGTGTGTGTTGTGGGTGTGTGTGTGTGTGTTTGGCCAGAGGAGAGTCCACTATAGCAGCAGGAATACTGACACCTTTCTATAACTTTCCGATAAATTCCCCCTGTGCACCGTGACAAAGAAGTTCCACCCACTCCCCTGCCCCTTTACGAGGGTTCCGCTTCCACTCAGATAAATGGTTTTCTGTTTCCGAGGGAAGAAAAGGACAGCCAAGTGGAAGATAGTCCCCACCTGGCCCCTCACTATTCTGGGACTATCGAATGCTTGTCTATGGCTTATCTTATCATAGGGAAAAAAAGAAACGGGGAAACACAGGGGAAGGGGAAGGGGAGTTCGACATCTGACACTGAGCCGCACGTCAGGCGAGCGACCCCTGCTCGCGGCAAGCCGTTTCAAAGCACAGATTTAAGTTGATGCTGATGATAATGATTTTGATAATTATAAAAGCTTATAACTAGTAGTAAGATTGTCTAATTAATAGATATATGTCGATTCATATGATAATATATATTGCTTAATTAATTCTAATTATTTTCCATGTTTGGGAGAGGTCTATATAGCCTTATTCCTTTCCCAACCTTCTTATGATGGTGATATACTTTTTAAATGATTTGCATGCAGCGCCCCCACCCAGGAGGAGAACAGGAGGAGAATCTCTCTCTCTAATAGCCTCTGAGCAAAGAGGTAAGATAAGCGGTGAACAAAATAAAAGAAAGTAAGGAATGTAGGTATGTTGAGGGGAATTAATGACAGGCTGGTGTACAAAACCAACCCCACACAAATAACAACACACATCCTAAATAACTAAAACAACACAAAAAAAAAACAAAAACACAAACACACACACAACACGTGCCAGGTGCCATGCCAGTGCAGTGGAGATTTGCTCTAAATTAGCCATCTGTGTCCCATGGTTCTGTTTTTGGAGTCGTCGGTCATGGGTGTTGAGGTCTGGGAGGAGAGAGCTGAAGGGGAGGAGGGCAGGAGTGGTAGGGAACCAGACAACCAGAAGCAGGGTGGTGGTGGGGTTATTAGCTCTTGTGTTAAGCAGTGGGGGACTAAGATATGGCTTTTTTAACACAACATTTACCAGGGGCTCCACCCACTCCCCTTACCGCCTGCTGAAATAATTTCAGACAATATGCGGCTAAGGTGTGGTTAAGTAAAGGTGTGTGTTGAAAATGAATGAAAAGGGGTGTGGGCTATTGGGCTATGTTGCGTTCTCTCTCAGTAGGGCTCTATGGTTGTGTTGATTTAGGCAAAAGAAAACTTGCCAACCATTCTAGGGGGTGCGTTCAATGTTGCAAAGATATCATATAATAAGGTGGGATGTAAATGCGGAAGAGAGAGAGGAGGAGAGAAGAGAAAGAGGAGAGGGTTGGTCTGGAGGGTTGTGCATGTCCAACTAATCTGATGCCTTCCAACCCACTCACCGCAGTTCTTTTTTCCTCATCCCATGGATCATCATTGGCTGATCCTCCATCACTCCTCTGACCACTATGTTTTATCCCTCTGAAGAAAAAGAAAATGCGGTCAACGGGCCGTTGTTTTTAAAACTCAACGAGCAGGGGCCCTGTTGGACAAATTGAAAAATAAATGGTGGTACGAACAAGGGAGCGTGTGGCAGCGGGGGGGAGGGGACTCAAAGGTGAGCCTCTCTGTCTCCAAACGCGGTTTCAACCGTGTTACGGGGAGGGAAGGTAGATGCGTGCACTGCCCCAGCAACACAGATCATGATGAACATGACACATCATGCCAATTCGACTCCCCTCGGTTCTGAAACGAGGAGGAATGAAGGAAGGAGGGGAGGAAGGGGAGTGATGGAGAGAGAGAAGGAGAGCAATTACGTCAAAGCAGAAATAGTGGCCCTCTAGTGGATGCTCTGGAGAGAGGAGTGTGGAAAGAAGGCTGTCAGAACATAGAGCAGGGTTCCCCAAACTGGCCAGGCGGGTGGGTTTATTGGCACCCCCAAGTTTTTCTGAGCAAAAAAAATATATTTTGTTTTATATAAAAAAAAAAAATTGAATTATCATTGTAGGACATAAAAGACTGTAAAAACCCCAGGAAATCAGCTCAAGTGATTTAATTTTGGAAATTGTTCCCAAGTATTCCCACGCAAATAGAGAGACGTATGTCATCGTATAAATAATAATTCATTCAGAATAATTGATTGGCTTTATATAGCACTTTCTACCAACTGAGGTTACTCAAAAGCGCTTGACATAGTAGGGGGAAGGAGGAAACCACCTCATCCACCACAATGTTGTTAGCACCCACTTCAGTGATGCACAGCAACCATTTTGTGCCAGAACGCTCACCACACATAAAACTATCAAGGTGGAGAGGTGAGGAGGGATATATGTCAATTCGGAAGGAGGGGTAGGATTAGGTGGCCACGATGGAATGGGGGCCAGGTTGGGAATTTAGCCATGGACACCGGGGTGAACAACCTATCTTACAATAAGTGCCATGGGATTTGTGAATAATATGCCAAAAGAGACCCACAAGACACCCGTGTTAACGGTCCCATCCAAAAGACGGCACCCTACACAGGCAATGTTCCCAATTGTAATCGAGGTTTGAAATTATTATGGTTTAGTCAAATATTAGATCTGTTTAGGCTTCTTGTGGTCACATTTGCAGTATAAAAATAATATGTGTTTATGTTCCGGCCCAGCCAACCATCTGCTCAAAGAAAGATGGCCCGGGCTGAATCTAGTTGATGATTCCCTGACGGTAGAGGGAGAGAGAAGATGATAGAGAGGAGGACGAAGGCATGAAATAGAAGAGATGATGTACTTATGTTTTCGGCCTTTTAGATTCCCTCTTCAGATCTCGTACCCAGAGCCGTGTTAATGACGTGCAGTAAATTGTCCAATGCAAGTCCCCCTTTCTCCCAGTGTGAGCAGGGCCCCTGCCAATAGTCATGCGGTTCACAGTAGCCTCTGTTGTGAGCCACGGCTGGGGGCAGTCAGTATGGGAACGTACCTGAAGTGATGCAGTGGGGGTCCCACTCATATGCTGTAGCGCGGCTTCCCTTCAACCCCCTCAGCCCCAAACGAGCATACACCCATGTACTCCAGTGGGACCAGCGGGGCACTTTTACCAGCAGTACCATTGATGTGACAGTTCTGACTGTATGGACCTAAAACAAAAATAACATGGACCTATGATGTTATTTATGTTATTTTACCGCCAAGAACCCCTGGTAAACCTTGCGGTTTTGAAATGAGTGAAGCAGGCGTCTTTAGACAACTGAAAAAACAAAATGGTGGTACGATAAGGGCGAGCAGTGTGTGGACCCCAAGGACTCGGGCAGTAAAGGTCAGTGTCGCGGCCAGAGTGGGGGGGGACCAAAAAACACCCTCCATGTGTGACAGACAGCACGCTCTAGATTAGCATGGAGACTAGAATTTAGGCATTAGGATGAGCTAAGTTATTTTTCCCCCACCACAGTTATATTTTATATAATATAATAATATTATTATATTGATTGATTACTGTTGAATACCTTTCTAGTTTAATCACTGTTAGTATTCTGCTCTATGCAACAGTCTGCCTGATGTAATGTGATTTCGAAGGGGACGGAAAAAAATATATAATATAAAATAGATATAAAATGTATACTTTGTAATTTATGGAAAATGGAATATGGGCATTCATTTAATAATGGCCTAGTTCAGAATTTACCATCGCAGTTTACTAGTCTCTGTGTTACTCTGTGTAGAAGAAAAGCAAAGAGTCTTATGAAGTCATGAGTCGTGATAAAAGACAAGAGATCTGTACAACAGCTAAGTGTCCTTAGTAGAAACATCAGCTGTCTTTAGAGAACAGAGAGAGATTCTTCGAACTCAGAGAACTCCGAAGAATGCAGTGAGTTATTTAAACTACCGGGGACCTTCACCAGAGTGTCTGAATAGAATCTTTCATCACTCATCCAAAAGCTGCTTGACTAATCCGATGACGGCATATATTGAATTGGTCTGTGTTTACTAGTCATCCTCCGACTCAATACGTAATACTGGTTATGTAGCAATATTAATAATGTTTATTTACTTTTAAATTGAAGTCATGCATTAGTAGTAGAGATGTCGTTCGATTTGTGAGTATGTAGTTAGTACTGTCATAGTAGTAATAATGTTGTAGTATAGGCATCGTAGATAATAAGCTTTAATGATGGTAGTAGTAGAAATGAGTACCTAGTAGACTAGTCCATAGTAGTGGTAGATGCTGTTGTTGTTCGTAGACGTAGACGTTTTTCTGCTAACAAATAAATAATAAGCTGCCCTGGTCTGGTGTCATCATCGCTTCATGTCTCTCTCTCTCTCTAACCATGTTGCTGTCCGTCCCCCCTCCCAGGACAAGTCATCACAGGCCTGAGCCTGGAGCAACGTGGCCGGGGTTTCTACATCCTGGTGGGGGGGTCTGGGCACTGGCCATGCTGGTGGCCGGTCGAGTTCTGCTACAAGTCGCGCGCCGAGGCCCAAGCGACATGAAGGTGGACCTTAGCCACCTTTTTCTCACTGCCCCAGCCCCTTCCCAGCACCCAGAATTTTTAGCCACTTATAAGAGAGGGGTTACAACGTATACGGCTCAGAGGGGGTCAGGATATAGGGGTGGGTAGGATTAGGGGCTCCTATAGGTGCTGGTGTGAAGTTTCTTGTGCGTGTAGCCTATAGCAACAGCAGACCAGTGTTGTGTGTCTGTGGTAAGGCATTGTTGGAACCAACGTGCTTTAGTTTTCCCCTTTGTTTTCATGTTGCGACAGCTTCTTATGCGTTTCAGTTTTTGGTGGTTTTTCTGATCGTTGCTGTGTAGCGCTTCACCCAGAGCATTCTTTTTGGGGGGGGAAGGATGGCAGATTGGTTCCATCGTCTTTGGTGCAGATGTGACCTGAGGTAGACACCGAATGCTGTCCATACTAGTGTATCACACATACAGCACATAATACTTTAGAACATTGTGCATATTCTTCCTGTCCTCAAGGCCCTCAACTGTCTGCTGGTTTTAACACTGTATCTAACAAGTGATTGATTTAGGACCTTGTACGCAGGTGTATGGACCATCTCTTATTTCCATCAATAACATGATCGACCAGTTAGGTACGGGGCAGAAACAAGAAAACCAGCAGGACTGCTTCATTGGAGGACTGGAGTTGCACAGACAAGTTTAAGCCCCCTGTCCAGATGTTCTAGAATGGTAGATGCACGAACAATTCCAAATGAGGTAGAGTTAGAGAAGAAATCCACTCAAACAACAAACACTTTATAGAAGGAGTGTATGCTATTGATGTTAACCCTAAAAGCGACAACATACGTTTTGGCTTTCTTAAAGTGCCAAAATGGATCATTTTTACCACAAATTGGTTAATTATTGCTGTCAGCAGTGCTAAAAAGAATGTTATTAACCTTTGTAACAAAAAAGAAAATGGTTTAAATTCCCCCCCCAAAAAATGTCAAGCAACATTTATAGTCAAATTTGATGTTTCAATTCAAAATATATGTTATTTGTATGTTGTATTTTTTTATAATATTTTTTCAATTCATCCCATAGCCCCTTGTTGAAAGAAATATGTATTCATTCAAAGTGTTGTGTTTCTGTGCTTACTCAGTGGAATAAAATTGGGCGATTGAGCTAATCTGACATACTGGTCTGACCTTAATGCCACCGATATGGCTGATATAGGGCGATAAGGGCGCCGGTTTTTTTGCCATCAAACTTTTAGTTCCAATTGTATCTGAAAGATGAGACTCTCGACCTGGAACAGAGACAGTGACTGGAAGTAATAGTATTTACACTTTGTGAGTCTGCTTTTTTGTTGTTTATAGTGGCTGTTGCCATGCCCACCACGGGTCAAATATGGGGTGGCTCATACTCTACTGTATATCTCTTCAGGGTACATAATCTACCTCGTGCCAATTTGGTTGCTTTATCACAAAGTGTACTATTAGTTCACATTTTACCACTAGTATAAAAAAAAAAGAGAATTATTTTTAATTCCTCCAGTATTAAACAGAAAACGTGGTTTAAAATTTAGCTTTTTTCTTGGTAAACCAGGTGCTTGACAAACTCCCAAAATGTCCGAAGGATTAAAACAAAGGGATTTGAAAATATACGTTTTTTGACCGATGTTGGGCGGATTAAGTGTTAATGCAAAAGAGATAAAAGAACATTTCCACAGGAAACATTAGGAACTGTTATTCAATGAGTAGTGTATTCTATAGTGTTGCCATGACAAAACAGTCAGTCAGTCTCTCTCTATAATTCTAAATTTGTGATGACACACCCTCACTTCCCCTTTTCTCACTCTTACAACACCCCACTTACGGTACAACAACCTCACATTACTGTTAAAAAAACGCACCTACATGTCCTAGCAGTTTTCATGCTTTTCTCATTTCTCCATGCTGCTTAGATCATTTCTCATTCTCTCACTACATTCAAATGAATGCCCTGTGAACAGCAGCTGCACATGACCATAAATATTTCTAGACCAGTGATCATTGCAGCAGTGAGGACATGTCCCAATAATTCAGCTTTACACATCATCTGGATGGATGGATGGATGGATGTATGGATGAATAAAAGGATGAATGGATGGATGGATGGATAACTAACCCTAACGCTAACCTCTAACCTCTTCTCTCTGCCTTTCCTTTTCTCAGAGGTCAAAGATCGCGGTATATGAGAAGATGTGGTCTTATATGAAGTCTGCTGAGCCTTCTGTCTTCGCTAAGACCACAGCGGAGGGCGTGGCTCGCGTCCGCAAGTCCAAAGGGAAGTACGCTTTCCTCCTGGAGTCCACCATGAATGAGTACACGGAACAACGCAAGCCCTGCGACACGATGAAGGTTGGAGGCAACCTGGACTCCAAGGGCTATGGCATCGCTACACCTAAAGGCTCACAGCTAAGGTGGGTGGAGTAGTATAACGATGGTAGTCCCCAACTCAACTGTTGTTATGGTATTCCACCTACCCTGGTGTGCCTTTTATATGGATCACTTAGTAGTGTCTTAGTCTGGTCTATTTCTGTTCCCCTTTCTTTCTTTCTTTCTTTCTTTCTTTCTTTCTTTCTTTCTTTCTTTCTTTCTTTCTTTCTTTCTTTCTTTCTTTCTTTCTTTCTTTCTTTCTTTCTTTCTTTCTTTCTTTCTTTCTTTCTTTTCTTTCTTCTTTTCTTTCTTTCTTTCTTTCTTTCTTGTCTTCTGTCTGTCTGTCTGTCTGTCTGTCTGTCTGTCTGTCTCTCTCTCTCTCTCCTTAGTTTATTTTTCTTTCTCTCTTTCTCTCTCTCTCTCGTTAGTTTATTTCTCACCCTCTCTCTCTCCCTCTCTCTCTCCCTCCCTCTCTCTTGATATCTCTCTCATTAGTTTATTTCTCTCTCTATCTCTCTCTCTCTCTCTCTCTCTCTCTCTCTCTCTCTCTCTCTCGATGTTGTGTTGAGTTCTTTGTGCCTGTTAGCTCCATTGCTCTGTTGTTTTGCTGTCTCTCCATCTCTACATCCATCCATCTCTGTCTGTTGTTCTTTCACTCACTCTCTCTCTTCACAGGGCCACCGATCAGGTAATCTGTCCACTCGTTTGTTGTCTTTACTGTCTCATTCCTTCATTCTCAGATATAGAGTGTACTGTAGATACTATCTGTTTTTGGACAGGCTGATTGTGAATGAAGTTACTAACGGTGATGCCGTGGGGAGGGGCGGTCACCGTGGCATTGCCATGACTCCCAGAGCCACCCAGGGGAATTTATAGACACACAGGAAACAGGACTTTGAAGGGCCTGGCCAATGGGGGGAACAAAAAGCTATCAAATTATTTCATAACATCCCAAAATACAGATCAAATCAATCAAATCAAATCAATCAAAACAAAAAAAATCACACAATCCAATGAATTGATGATGCCCTGAAACATGATCAAATGTGTGTGTGTTTGTGTGTGTGTGTGTGTGTGTGTGTGTGTGTGTGTGTGTGTGTGTGTGTTTGGACCAAGAGGAGTCCCATCTATAGCAGCAGGAATACTGACACCCTTTCTATAACTTTTCCTATAACTTCCCCCTGTGCACCGTGCAAAGAAGTCCACCCACTCCCCTGCCCCTTTACGAGGGTTCCTCTTCCACTCAGATAAATGGTTTTCTGTTTCCGAGGGAAAAGTGACAGCCAGTGGACGATAGTCCCCACCTGGCCCCTCACTATTCTGGGACTATCGACTGCTGTCTATGGCTTCTCCTTATCATCGGAAAACCTACCGGGACCATGCACGTGGATGGGAGAGCGCACGTCAGGCGAGAGCCCCTGCTCGCGGCAAGCCGTTCAAAGCACAGATTTAAGTTGATGATGATGATGATGATTTTGATAAAGCTTATATTAGTAGTAAGATGTCTACTTAATACTATATGTAGGGAATTCATATGATAATATATATTGCTTATATAATTCTAATTATTTTCCATGTTTGGGAGATGTCTATATAGCCTTATTCCTTTCCCCTAACCTTCTTATGATGGTGATATTTTCCATGGCTTGCAGCCCACCCAGGAGAACTCTCTCTCTCTCTAGCCTCTGAGCCAAGAGGCAGCTCAGTGTACAATAACAAAATAATGACTGTCTGTCTTTCTGACTCTCTGTCTGTCTGTCCCTCCCCCCCCCCCTCCCCCCACCTCCTCCCTCCCACACACCTCCACACACACACACACACACACACACACACACACACACACACACACACACACACACACACACACACACAGTGCCAGTGCCAGTGCACAGTGCCAGTGTGAGTATGTGCTATTTTAGCCCTCTGTGTCCATGGTCTGTTTTTGGAGGTCGTTTCCTGTCAGGGGTGTGAGGTGGAGAGCTGCAGGGGAGGAGGGCAGGAGTGGTAGGGACCAGAACACCAGAAGCAGGGTATTAGCTCTGTGTCAGCAGGGGACTAAGATAGGCTTTAACACAACATTTAACCAGGGCTCCACCACTCCCCTTTACCCGCCCTGCTGCACATCATTCAGACAATAGCGGTAAAGGTGAACTGAATGAAAGGGGTTTGGGCTATTTGGCTCTGTTGGTTCTCTCTCTGTAGGCTCTATGTGTTGATTTAGCAACAGAAAACTGGCATAACCATTCTAAGGGTGTGCTTTCAATGTTGCAAAGATATCTCTATAATAAGGGGGGATGTAAATGCTGGAAGAGAGAGAGAGAGAGAAAGAGAGAGGGTTGTCTGGAGGGTTGTGCATGTCCACTAATCTGATGCCTTCCAACCACTCACCGACGTTCTTTTTCCTCATCCCATTGGCTCATCATTGGCTGATCCTCCATCCCTCCTCTGACCAACTATGTTTTATCCCTCTGAAGAAATGCGGTCAACCTGGCCGTGTTAAAACTCAACGAGCAGGGCCTGTTGGACAAATTGAAAAATAAATGGTGGTACGACAAGGGAGAGTGTGGCAGCGGGGGAGGGGACTCCAAGGTTAGCCTCTCTGTCTCCAAACGCGGTTCAACCGTGTTCGGGAAGTAATGCGTGCATCTGCCCCAGCCACACAGATCACTGATGAACATGACCACATCATGCCACTTCGACTCCCCTCGGTCTGAAACGAGGGAGGAAGGAAGGAGAGGAGGGGAGTGATGGAGAGAGAGATAGGAGAGCAATTACTGTCAAAGCAGGAATAGTGGCCCTCTAGTGGATGCTCTGGAGAGAGGAGTGTGGACCAGAAGGCTGTCAGAACATAGAGCAGGGTTCCCCAACTGGCCAGCGGGTGGTTTTATTTGGCCCCCCAAGTTTTCTGAGCAAAAAAAAATATTTTATTTTATTATTTTAAAAAAAGAATTGAATTATCATTGTAGGACATAAAAGACTGTAAAAACCCCAGGAAATCTGCTCCAAGTGATTTTACTTTTGGAAATCTGTTCCCAAGTATTCCCACGCATAATAGAGAGACATATGTCATCGTATACAAATAATAATCATTCAGAATAATTGATTGGATTTATATAGCACTTTTCTACCAACTGAGGTACTCAAAGCGCTTTACATAGTAGGGGGAAACTCACCTCATCCACCATCAATGTGTAGCACCCACTTCAGTGATGCACAGCAACCATTTTTTGTGCCAGAACGCTCACCACACATCACCTATCAGGTGGAGAGGTGAGGAGGGATAAATGCCAATTAGGAATGAGGGGGAGGATTAGGTGGCCACGATGGAATGGGGCCAGGTTGGGAATTTAGCCATGACACCGGGGTGAACACCCCTACTCTTACAATAAGTGCCATGGGATTTTGAATGACCACAGAGACACAAGACACCCGTTTTAACGTCCCATCCAAAAGACGGCACCCTACACAGGACAATGTTCCCAAATGTAATCGAGGTTTGAAATTATTATGGTTTAGTCAAATATTATATCTGTTTAGGCTTCTTGTGGTCAATTTGCAGTATAAAAATATATATTTGTATTATGTTCCGGCCCACCAACCATCTGCTCAAGAAAGAATTGGCCCGTGGCTGAATCTAGTTGATGATCCCTGACGTAGAGGGAGAGATAGAGAGGAGGACGAAGGAATGAAATAGAGAGATGATGTACTTTATGTTTTCTGCCTTTTAGATTCCTCTTCAGATCTCTTACCCAGAGCTTGTTAATGACGTGCAGTAAATTGTCCAATGCAGTCCCCTCTCTCCCAGTGTGAGCAGGCCCTGCCAATAGTCCTGCGTTCACAGTAATTGCCTCTGCTTGTGGAGCACCGGCTGGGGCAGTATGGGCACGTTACCTGAAGTGATGCAGGGGGGTCCCACTCATATGTCTGTAGCTCGCTTAGCCCTCACCCCCCTCAGCCCCCCAACGAGCATACACACATGTACTCAGTGGGACCCAGACTGGGTCACTTTTACCAAGCAGTACCATTGATGTGACAGTTCTGACTGTATGTGACCTAATAACATAAAATAACATGACCTATGATGTTATTTATGTTATTTTTACACGCCAAGAACCCCGGTAAACCTTGCGGTTTTGAAACTGAGTGAAGCAGGCGTCTTAGACAAACTGAAAAACAAATGGTGGTACGATAAGGGCGAGTGTGGACCCAAGGACTCGGGAAGTAAGGTCAGTGTCGCGGCCAGAGTGGGGGACCAAACACCCTCACTGTGTGACAGACAGGCACGCCTCTAGATTAGCATGGAGACTAGGATTAGCATTAGGATTAGCATCAGTTATATTTTTATATAATATAATAATATATTATTTGATTGATTACTGTTGAATACCTTTCTAGTTCTATCACTGTTAGTATTCTGCCTATGCAACATCTGCCTGTATAATGTGATTTCGAAGAAAAATATATACTATAAAATATATATAAAATGTATACTTTGTAATTTCTGGAAAATGGAATATGGCATTCATAATAATGGCCTTAGTCTCAGAATACCATTCAGTTTACTATTCTCTGTGTTACTCTGTGTAGAAGAAAAGTCAAAGAGTCTTATGAAGTCATGAGTCTTATAAAACTACAGATAATCTTACAACATCTAAGATGTCCTTAGAACACTACAGATGTCTTTAGAAGAACACTAGAGAGATTCTTAGAACATCAGAGAACTCCTAAGAATGCCAGTGAAGTTCTTAAAATACCGGGGACCTTCACCAAGAGTGTCTGAATAGAATACTTTTTCATCACTCATCCAAAAGCCTGACTAATACGATGACTGAATATATTTTAATTGGTATGATGTACTAGTCATCCTCGACTCAATACTTAATACTTGTAGCAATATTAAAATGTTTATTTACTTAAATTGTAGTCATGCATTAGTAGTAGATATGTAGTCGATGTAGTAGTACTGTCATAGTAGTAATAATAGTTGTAGTATATGCACTAGTAGATAATAAGCTTTAATGATGGTAGTAGTAGAAATGCTTACCCTAGTAGACTAGTCATAGTAGTGGTAGATGCTGTTGTTGTTCGTAGAAGTAGACGTTTTTCTGCTAAAAAATAAATAACTAAGCTGCCCTGTTCTGTGTCTCACTAGCTTCACTGTCTCTCTCTCTCTCTAACCCTGTGCTGTCCGTCCCCCCTCCCAGGACAAGTCCTCCCAGGCCCTGAGCCTGAGCAACGTGGCCGGGGTCTTCTACATCCTGGTGGGGGGTCTGGGCCTGGCCATGCTGGTGGCCCTGGTCGAGTTCTGCTACAAGTCGCGCGCCGAGGCCAAGCGCATGAAGGTGGACCTTAGCCCCCCTCACTGCCCCAGCCCCTCTCCCAGCACCCAGAATTTAGCCACTTATAGAGAGGGGTACAACGTATACGGCTCCGAGGGGGTCAAGATATAGGGGTAGGACTTAGGGTCTCCTATAGGTGGGCTGGTGTGAAGTTTCTTGTGCGTGTAGCCTCTAGCAACAGCAGACCAGTGTTGTTGTGTCTGTGGTGAAGCATTGTGGAACCAACGTGCTTTAGTTTTCCCCTTTGTTTTCCTGTTGCGACAGCTTCTTATGCTTCAGTTTTTTGTTTGTTTTTCTGATCGTTGCTGTGTAGCGCTTCACCCCAGAGCATTCTGGGGGCAGGTGGCAGATTGGTTCCATCGTCTTTGGCTGCAGATGATGATGATGTTATACACCTGCATTCTGTCCATACTCAGTGTATCACACATACAGCACATAATACATTAGAACATTGGTGCATATCTCCTGTCCTCAAGGCCCGCACTGTCTGCTGGTTTTAACACTGTTCTAACAAGTGATTGATTTAGACCTTGGTAAGCAGGTGTATGGACCATCTCTCTATTCAATCAATAACATTGATCGACCAGTTAGGTACCGGGGAGAACAGAAAACCAGCAGGACTGCTTCATTGGAGGACTGGAGTTTCACAGACAAGTTAAGCCCCCTGTCAGAGTTCTAGAATTGTAGATGCCCGAACATTCCCAAATGAGGTAGAGTTAGAGAAGAATCCACTCAAATCAACCAAACACTTTATAGAGGATGTCTGCTTATTGATGTTAACCCTAAAAGCGACAACATATTTTTGGCTTAAAAGTGCCAACATGGATCATTTTTTACCCCAAATTGGTAATTATTGCTGTCTAGCAGTAAAAAAATGTTTATTAACCTTTTGTAACAAAAAGAAAATGGTTTAAATTCCCCCCCCAAAAAAATGTAAGCACACATTTATAGTCAAATTTGATGTTTCAAAATATATGTTTTTGTATGTTGTATTTTTTTATAATATTTTTATCAATTTCATCCATAGCCACTTGTTTTGAAAGAAATTATGTTATTCATTCAAAGTGTTGTGTTTCTGTGATACTCAGTGGCTGAGAAATTGGCGATTGAGCTAATCTGACATACTGGTATGACCTAAGATGGCCACCGATATGGCTGATATAGGCGATAAGGGCGCCGGTGCCATCAAACTTTTAGTTCCAATTGTATCTGAAAGATGAGACTCTCGACCTGGAACAGAGACGTTGACTGGAAGCTAAATATGTATTTACATTTGTGAGTTCTTTTTTTGTTATAGTGGCTGCCATGCCCACCACGGGTCAAATCTGGGGTGGCTCCATATCTACTGTATATCTCTTCAGGGTACATACATCTACCTCCGTGCCAAATTTGGTGCTTTATCACAAAGTGTACTATTGAGTTCACATTTTTACCACTAGTATAAAAAAAAGAGAGATTATTTTTAATTCCTCCATATTAACACAGAAAACGTGGTAAATTTAGCTTTTTTTCTTGGTAACCAGTTGCTTGACAAAATCCCAAAATGTCTGAAGGATTTAAAAAAAAGGGATTTGAAAATATTACGTTTTTTGACCGCTGTTGGTGCTTGAAGTGTTAATGCAAAAGAGATAAACATAACATTTCCAAAGGAAACATTAGGAACATTGTATATCAATGAGTAGTGTATTCCTATAAAGTGTTGCCCATGACAAAACAGTCAGTCAGTCTCTCTCTATAATTCTAAATCTGTGAAACACCCCTCACTTCCCCTTTTCCTCACCTTACAAAACCCCACCTTACTGTACAAAACCTCACCTTACTGTAAAAAAACTCACCTTACTGTAAAAAAAAAGCTCACCTTACTGTACAAAACCTCACCTTACTGTAAAAAAAAAACTCACCTTACTGTAAAAAAAACTCACCTTACTGTAAAAAAACTCATCTTACTGTACAAAACCTCACCTTACTGTACAAAACCCCAGAAATGCATGGTCACCTTGAAATGCAGATGTCTCACCCAAACGTATTTGAAATGTATCCTGAGCATCTGTGTGTTTGTTGTTGCCTGCCTTTTTTATACAATGTTAGTTTAAGTAGTCATATACAGGTAACTGCCAAAATAAAGGAAACAACAACATAAAGTGTCTTAATAGGGTGTTGGGCCGCCAGAACAGCTTCAATGCACCTTGGCATAGATTCTACAAGTGTCTGGAATTTTATTGGAGAGATGTGACACCACTCTTCCTCGAGAAATTCCATAGTTTGGTGTTTTGTTGATGTTGGTGGAAAACGCTGTCTCGGGCACCGCTCCAGAAACTCCCATAAATGTTCAATTGCGTTGAAATCTGGTGACACACACACACCCTTTAAACCCCCTATGCTCCTTTGAGACCCAAATTCACTGAGATATCTTCTAGCCATGGTAGCCAAAATAATGGGAACTGGGCATTTTTATACATGACACTAAGCATGATGGGATGTTTTAATTGCTTAATTAACTCAGGAACCACACCTGTGTGGAAGCACCTGCTTTCAATATACTTTGTAGCCCTCGTTTACCCAAGTTTTCCCTTTATTTTGGCAGTTACCTGTATGTTCCAATTCTTATGCTGGTGTGTGTGTGTGTGTGCATTCATTCGTGCTTATGAGCATATGAACATGTATTTGTATGTTCCTATGTTTTCAAAGTGAATGATCAATTTGATTCATTAGGGTCATATTACAAAAACTCATAACTGTTTATTTCTTTCCTCTTTTCCCATTGCCCCTCCCTCTCTAATCACCCCCCTCCCCCTCCCCCTCCTCTGGCTCTTCCCCTCCAGCTGCCCTTCACAGAAGCCATGCGGAACAAGGCTCGGCTGTCAATCACAGGCAGTGTGGGTGAGAATGGGCGTGTCTTAACCCCGGACTGCCCTAAGGCCGTCCATGCTGGCCACTCCCTCAGACACCCAGGGTTTATCCTACCCTCGGGCCTACCCTGAAAACCAAAAACACACACTGTGCCTTAACCACACACACACACGGCTACGTCATTACCACCCCGACACCACACACACACACACACACACACACAGACCAGAGACAGCCAGCAAGCTAAAAGCAACTACAGGGAGAGAGGAGGGACAAATATAACGCTCACCATCACACTAAAATCCTAATTTGAGTGTAAACTTTGGGAGATCCATGAAACAAGGACAACAAGGTGACAAACTGACAGTGAGAAAGAACAAAATATGATGATGATGATGATGATGAAGAGGACTTTGGGCACTGTCATGAGCAGACAGACGTGACTTTATCTGCTCCGATGTGATAGACTGCATCCTCTAACAAGCCACACCCCTGATCCCCTACCAGGAAACAATGCTTCAGGACAAACACCATCATCATCATCAACATTTTCATCATCTTCACTTGCCTGCAAAGAATAAGAACCAGGAGAATCACTTACAAGACCAGAAAACTGTAAACCTGAAAACGTTGGACTGTACAAACCTGCTCTTTCGCCATTAACTATTCAGACGAACTTGCTTTCTTACAACGCTTTGGTCAGCGTCTCGCAAACACAACGCAGAGATCACTGAAGTTACAGTAATAGACGACAACTCAACGGATATCTCCAAACTCATATGGCTAACACGACCGTAGGATTCACAGTGGTTTTATGAAAAAAATAAAAAATAAAAATGTAATAGTTATTAACAAATAGACTTATCACTTCTCTGGGCAGGGAACAGAGGTGAAGCTGTACATTCTGTGAAAAGTTAAGAAAACTTATCAAAGTAAATTCCCCATATAAGGCATTATTTTTGACCAGGTCCACATTTAACCATCTAGAGCTCTGGTCAAAGGTAGTGTGCTATATGGGGGATAGGGTATAATGTGAGACATGGCCATATTGTGTTCCAGTGGAGAGGGAAGGTACTGACTGTATCAGAAGCTTGCTTTTTAAACTGTTGTAAATAACTGTGTAGCAAAACTGAACTCACCTCTCTTTTTTAACCATCTTAGGTAATAATTCATTGCAATAATGAATATAAGAAAATGCCACATGTAATTATGAATACATCTTTTTATAAATACATATTATATACAATACAAATGAATATATATATATATATATATATATATATATATACAGTGAGGGAAAAAAGTATTTGATCCCCTGCTGATTTTGTACGTTTGCCCACTGACAAAGAAATTATCAGTCTATAATTTTAATGGTAGGTTTATTTGAACAGTGAGAGACAGAATAACAACAAAAAAATCCAGAAAAACGCATGTCAAAAATGTTATAAATTGATTTGCATTTTAATGAGGGAAATAAGTATTTGACCCCTCTGCAAAACATGACTTAGTACTTGGTGGCAAAACCCTTTTGGCAATCACAGAAGTCAGACGTTTCTTGTAGTTGGCCACCAGGTTTGCACACATCTCAGGAGGGATTTTGTCCCACTCCTCTTTGCAGATCTTCTCCAAGTCATTAATGTTTCAAGCCTGACGTTTGGCAACTCGAACCTTCAGCTCCCTCCACAGATTTTCTATGGTATTAAGGTCTGGAGACTGGCTAGGCCACTCCAGGACCTTAATGTTATTCTTCTTGAGCCACTCCTTTGTTGCCTTGGCCGTGTGTTTTGGGTCATTGTCATGCTGGAATACCCATCCATGACCCATTTTCAATGCCCTGGCTGAGGGAAGGAGGTTCTCACCCAAGATTTGACGGTACATGGCCCCGTCCATCGTCCCTTTGATGCAGTGAAGTTGTCCTGTCCCCTTAGCAGAAAAACACCCCCAAAGCATAATGTTTCCACCTCCATGTTTGATGGTGGGGATGGTGTTCTTGGGGTCATAGGCAGCATTCCTCCTCCTCCAAACACGGCGAGTTGAGTTGATGCCAAAGAGCTCGATTTTGGTCTCATCTGACCACAACACTTTCACCCAGTTCTCCTCTGAATCATTCAGATGTTCATTAGCAAACTTCAGACGGGCCTGTATATGTGCTTTCTTGAGCAGGGGGACCTTGCGGGCGCTGCATGATTTCAGTCCTTCATGTCATAGTGTGTTACCAATTGTTTTCTTGGTGACTATGGTCCCAGCTGCCTTGAGATCAT